ATATTTAAGAATGCAAAGGCAGGCAGAACTATTTCACCTTTAGTTGATTATACAACAGATATTTTTCAGCTTTTCTTATCCCTATAGGTCAAGCTGTGCCTGCCCAAGTTCTTTTTACTGTTCAAATGCTAAAAGTATAGATGCCTTATCTTACTTTGTGTTTGGTTATATTTCAGAGGAGGAAAGGTGACATTGTGATAAAATATTAAAAATGGGTTCTACTTGAAAAATGGGTTTCACTTGAGAGGTGGATTCCAGATCTGAACACGCTGACAAAAACTACTGTTTGGCATCCAGGAAACAGTGGAGCAAAGGAAATTACTTAATACCGAGTAAGGTCATTTGTCCATCAGCACTATGAATGTGTGCTCTGACTGGCAGCAGCTCCCCAGAAGTTTTAGGCAGAGAATCTTTGGCACTCCTTATGGCTGTTTTAAATGGCAATTCTGAACCTGAAACCTGCAAACTTTTGCATGCAAAACAGTGGTGACTGGTGGGTCCCATGTCAGTGGGGCAATGAATCAACTCCATGCTTTGGCTAGCTTTAAAAAGAGCTCTCCAGGGTGTTGACCTTGTTTAGAAACAGGGTTTAGCATCTTGGAAAGCTCTTGTAGAGCCTGAATTAGAATCTAGAATCAGTTCACTGCCTTGCTGACATGAGAGCCACAGCCTCCCCTGATACAAAGCATGTGCTCTACCTGGGACTGTAAGCAAGATCCCCCACCATATTGTGCTTCTAGCAGACTTGCTCCTATCTCTGTATTTTTCACTGTGCTGAACCATGTTCCCAGTAGCCTTCTCCTCCTCCTTGGTCATCAAAGTCTTCTTTTTCTCCCTGCTTTAATATGCCAGATTCAGCTGCTGAGTATGCCTAAGGCTGCTGAGATGAGAAGCAACTGGTGGCTCACTGGGTGACCTTGGGCAAGTCACATTCTGTCAGCCTCAGAGGATGGCAATAGTAAAATGCCTCTGAAGAAACATGCCAAGAAATCTCCTCGCATCTCTTCCCATCCTGAGGCCTTGCCTCAACAGAGCAATACACAGATTTACATGGTAATTTACATACTAATTCCTAGCAGACAATGGACCATTAATTAAATAGACACTAACCCTCCTCTCATATCCACCCAC